TTACACGATTACTTCTCTTCATTCCCTCCCGCACCGATGCATAGAAACATACCGTCGAGCGAATTTTCACCATATTGTGAAGATATTTATATAAAGGTCTATCTATAACCAAATCGAGCGGGAAAAAATTATTTTGCACTCTTTATGACAAAAACAACTACATCGTTCATTTGGAAACGTTGAAGTGTTATTTGAGACTAGGTATGCGAGTGAAACATATTCACGCCGTAATCAGATTCGCTCAGGATGCATGGATGAAACCTTATATCCATGTCAACACTCACAAACGTAAAATGGCAACTGACAGCGCGTCCAAAGAGTTTTACAAACTTTTGAGCAATGCGTGTTATGGAAAACAGATTGAAAACTGTAGAAAGTACAAGGACATTCGTTTGGTGACCGATGCTAACATACTGACGAAATGTTCAGCCAAGTGCAATTTCAAACGTCTCAATATTTTCTCCGAACAGTATTTCGGTCGCGTTAAACAAACCCATTGCTGTGGGATTATGTACACTGGAACATGCCAAGAGAAGAATCTATTCTTTCTGGTATGACGTTTTGGTCAGACAGTACGGTAGTCGGGTGAAACTGTGTATATCTGGTACGGATTCACCTGTCGATACCGTGGATGCTGACGACGTAACACAGGCAATTAATGTTTGTATCAAATAACGTCCCACTACCCCTTATTTTGCTAAGTTTTTGGTATTTTCATCAGTAAAAACACATTTTAGGGCATGTCTCACAATTTATTCTTTCGGTCTACATTAGGTAGAAGTGATATTTGTTTTTTAAGTCACTGTAATACCTCTGAATTTTAAATAGTCAAAAAGCATTTTTCTAGCATTTCCGACAGTACATAATGTCCGCCATTCTTTAAAAAAAAGTAATTTAGCTAGCCAATAATGAGCAATCAATCAATGTATTGGCGGGTAATCCTTTGAAAGAAGGACGTTGTTTTTACGCAGACGCAGACACGACAAAGTGTATTCAGTATAGATTAGTAAATCTACATAAATAAACACTACCTTTTGGCAAATACGCTGTGCAAGATAAAAGTAATTAATCAATCAGCGTGTTATCGGTTAATCCTTTGATCGATGTTTATAATGTTGAGTATTTACTCCGAACACAAGAATTGCTAAATCTAAGTGATGTTACCACTAATTATACCTGTTATAAATTCATTAACTGACCATCAAGTAAATGATGACAAATAACATGTGCAGGTTTATACCACCTAACACGGGTCACAACATGGGAGTATTAATTGCTGTATTGCATGCAAATTTAATTGCATGTGAAAACTTATGGGCCGACACTGTTTTGAGAATACAAACAGAACTTCATTGTTGCAAGAAATACATATAAGCATGACATGAATAAATATCGAGGTAAAAAAACACAGAAATGGGATCAATTTGGATCAGTCATTATACCATCCAGGCATTAGAAAACCGGAAAAAGCCCACACTGCTTTGATAATTTATTACAATCAGACAAGAACTACCGGGGATATTTTCAAATAACTCCATCTGATGGGCATCCACCCTTCTTAATGTCGCACTGTTTTGGTTGAGGAAATTAATTCACGACTTTATGGTTATCATGCAACAACTTGTTTACATAATCTATTCGATCTCACTTATGCTTGTTTTTTAATTGTGTTATGTATTTGAAATATTGTTGTGTATGAAGGATAAAACTGTACCAGTGCGAAAAAGAAATAAAGTGAAATAAAAAAAAAATCCATCCATTAATTTTGGAGATATCGCAAGAATACTCGCTGTGGCCTTGAAAATAATCCGAAGGTCACTGAATTTGACTGGCGTTAGACGATACTCCCAACACATCTTGAAACTACTTCTAAGTAAAATATATTAATTCTGTCTTGTGTTTTCGCACTAAAAAGTTAGACATGTGCAAAACAATTTTCACTGTAAACTTAAAATGAGCACAAGTTCTCCAATCAATCGGTGTAGGGGGATTCCCGCCAATACACCTTGATATAAAATTAGATCAAAATCTCTTTCCTGAGCTCGCGGCTACCAAGCTTGGAATGTACCAAACTGTTACACCTTCGCTGTGACCTTTAAAATGACCTCAAGGTCACAAAAATTCAACTGGTGTCGGTAAATCTTGTCAATAAACCTTGGTACCAAATTTGAACAAAATCCATCATTTCTTTCTCGAGTTCTTTCAGTAAACAGAAGGGGGGAGTCATTTGAACAAGCGTTTGTAGTTTCAAATTGCTTTTTTGTGCAGTTCAATATCTAAGTTTGATGCTAGCAGAATTCTACCAATCTCAAGTATACACAAATGTTTCTTGCATGTTTTGTTTCCTGAAGTTTGTGATGATGTTTATTCCAGACTTTACAATTTTTGGGAGTACCAAGACAAGATACAAAGTCACACAAAATGGGGATCGTGAGGCTAGAACATAGCAAAACCTATTTGCTTGGGGCTGACAGATAATATGTAGAAAAATAAAATTGTGCATTTGTATCTTATTATAGGTGCTACTGACTACTTTTTGAACGACCCTCGTAGATGTACTCCTTAGAACACCCACCCACCACTCCGACTCTACATGCAGGTACGTGTGTTAGATATATTGGTTTGATACACACACACACGCACGCACGCACGCACGCACGCACGCACGCACGCACGCACGCACGCACACACAAAAACCTCTACAGATATTTTCGAAAAGACATGATACAGAGGACAGTTAGAGATTTTATATCGATTATATATCGATTATATATCAGGACCAATATCATTTTCGTCATTCAGCTAAGGTTTGTCAATTCTTTCTTGGGTTATCGCACTAACAATCATTATATTGGCAAAACCCTCAGATTTTTGTTGTGACCTTGCTAATTATCTCAAGGCCACGCAATCTCACTGGTGTCGGTGAATCCCGCCAATATACCTTGGTACCAAATTTGAACAAAGTCCATAGTTTCTTTCTTGAGTTATCGCACTAACAAGCTTATATGATGTATGACATGTAACGAAAAACAAACACACGCGTATATGCGAGAGATTAAAAATGTTATTACAATTTACGTAAATATTTATTACATTTTACCGTAACGAAAATTATTACAATTTACGTCAGTTTTTATTCCAATTTGCGTAACACAATTTACGTCAATTTTTAATTACAATTAACGTTATTATTACAATTTACATCAAGTTTATTACAATTTAATGCAAGTATTACAATTAGAGAAAAGGTAATAAGCATTCAATGGGGGAAATTCAATAACCCAGATCCATATGGACCTCAAGATACAACTGAAAACCCAGGTTTAGAATTAACTGATGATCCAGCCTTAGATATAACTGATGATCCAGGTTAGGTAAAACTCATGATTCAGGTTTAGATATAACTGATAATCCAGGTTTAGATATAACTCATGATCCAGGTTTAGATATAACTGATAATCCAGGTTTAGATATAACTGATGATCCAGGTTTAGATATACATGCTACTTATGATCCGGGTTTAGATATAACTGATGATCCAGGTTTAAACATAACTGATGGTCCAGGTTTACATATAACTGATGATCCAGTTTAGATATAACTGATGATCCATGTTAGATATAACTGATGATCCAAGAAAGATGAAACTGATGATCCAGGTTAGATATAACTTATGATCTAAGTTTAGTTATAACTGATGATGCAGGTTTAGATATAACTGATGATGCAGGTTTAGATATAACTGATGATCCAGGTTTAGATATAACTGATGGTTCAGGTTTAACTATAACTGATGATCTAGGTTTAGACATAAGTGATGATCTAGCTTCAGTTATAACTGATGATCCAAGTTTGATATAACTGACAATCCAGGTTAAGATATAATTGATGGTCCAGGTTTAGATATAACTGATGATCTATGTTTAGATATAACTGATGATCCATGTGTAAATATAATTGATGATCCATGTTTAGATATAACTGATGATCCATGTTATATATAACTGATGATTCATGTTATATATAATTGATCTAGGTTTAGATACAACTGGTGATCCAGGTTTAAATATATGTGATGATCCAGGTTAAAATATAACTCATGTTCCAGGTTTCGATATAACTGATGATCCCGGTTAGATATAACTGATGATCCAGGTTAGATATAACTGATCATCCAGATTTTGATATCACTGATGATCTAGGTTTAGATATAACTGATGGTCCCGGTTTAGATAAAATTGATGATCCAGGTTTAGATATAACTGATGATCCATGTTATATATAACTGATCTAGGTTTAAATATAACTAATGATCCAGATTTAGATATAACTGATGGTCCAAGTTTAGATATAACTGATGATCTAGGTTTAGATATAACTCATGTTCCAGGTTTCGATATAACTGATGATCCAGGTTAGATATAACTGATGATCCGGGTTGATATTTAACTGATTATCCAGTTTCAGATATAACTGACGATCCAGGTCGGTTATAACTTATGATCCAGGCTTAGATATAACTTATGATCCATGTTCAGATATAACTGATGATCCATGTTTAGATGTAACTGATGACCTGGGTTTAGATATAACTGATGATCCAGTTTTAGATATAACTGACGATCCAGGTTAGTTATAACTGACGATCCAGGCTTAGATATAACTGATGATCCAGGCTTAGATATAACTGATGATCCAAGTTTAGATGTAACTGATGATCTGGGTTTAGATATAACTGATGATCCAGGTTTAGATATAACTGATGATCCAGGTTTAACTGATGATCCAGATTTAGATGTAACTGATGATCTAGGTTTAGATATAACTGATGATTCGTGTTAGATATATAATTGATGGTCCAGGTTTAGATATAACTGATGTTCCAGGTTTAGATACAGCTGATTTTCTAGGTTTAGATATAACTGATTGTCCAGGTTTAGATATAACTGATGGTCCATGTTTAAGATGTGGGTCAGAAATAAAAGATAGGACGCAAAGTGTACAATGTCATCATGTTTATTTCTCTTTTATATAATATTGCCGATGTGACGATAAATATTAACTCACTCACTCACTCTCTTATATATCTTCGTGAATGAACGTGGCAAAGATTAACACAAGTCTCAGATGTATATACACATTATTCAGCCAGCTTGTGGCAAGTCAGATGAACTTCCTTCTTCAACTGATTCATGACATTCTGGATTTCGTTTCAGAGAATCGCACATTCTGTATCCTTGTCAGCGGGTTAATCTTCTCCGACACTGGGTACACGCATCTCCCCTAGTTCTGTTGAACTTTGGCCACCGACCTTGCAACTCAGTAATGTGGTGTATATAACAGCGCTCATTACACCTCTGGTCGGGGTCAACCACAAAGTTGTAGCTGAGCCTTCTGGCAGCGGTACGACGAATATGTTTGTCGATGGCTTGCTTGTGTCCGTAGCAGTGTGACTGCGGACGTTGGTGTAGGTTGCCGGTCCTCCCCACGTAGATGACCCATCCACCCTGTTTGATAGCGTAGATTCCTGGATCCTCTGTTTCAGGCCAATGCCCCCATTGATTGCCCTGGCTGTCGATCAGGGCTTGGCTGTTTCGCTCAGTTTCCGCCTGCAATATATGTAACATGGAAGTGAATCATGACTGACATACTCCTAATAAACAGACACAACATATATCAGACCTAACACCCCAATCTGACTTGTCAGGATCTGCTGGTCGTGGGTTTGAATCCAAGATTGGTCTTTTATCTGTCAGCAACATACGATTGGATTTCACCCGAATGGTCCAACAGTCTAACCTTCGACTTCCCTCACACCTTATCTGCCACGCCAGTTTGAATGTAAGGTAATCCTATAGACGTATATAATGCCGGCGTGTCTCACCACGAACATTGGTTTTCTTTATATCTTTATGCGTCTGTATTACCTCCACATGATCATTTCAAATGAGATTTTTCGAAAGTCATAGTATATGTATGTGTTTGTAGAAGTGAGGATAGAACATAGAAGGTTATTCTTGCAGGGTGAGAGTATAGGAGAGGAGAGTGTCATGTAAGATGATGCTATAGGCGTATATAATATTGACGTATCTCTTAATTTACAGTGAGTGAGTGAGTTTTACGCGGACGTATAAACTATTCCAGTAATATCACGGCGGTGGACACCAGAAATGGGCTTCACACAATGTATTATGTGTGTGTGAGGAATCGTACCCTAGTGGTTAAAGCGTTCGCTCGTCACGCCGAAGGCCCGGGTTCGATTCCCCACATGGGTACAATTTGTGAAGTCCATTTCTGGCGTCCCCCGCCGTGATATTGCTGTGGAATTTTGCTAAAAACGGCGTAAAACCATACTCAGTCCGTCAGTATTCATGTGGGGAATCGGACCCGGATCTTCGGCGTGATGAGCAAACGATTTAACCACTACGCTTTGTAAAGACGCCCATTTTGGTTTTGTTATATCATGGAAGAATATATAGAGGATATTTTGTTAATGTTGTCAAATAACATGTATATATTTCATCGTGTGGTCTGACAAAGTTGATATGTTCACAAAGTCTGCATTTTGTTACGCTACCCAAATATAGTCTAGCCCTTGAGCAGAAAGTAGTTCCAGGCAAAAGTGATATTCTACTCAGTGAAATAACATGCTATTCTACTCAGTGAAAATACCATTTTTATTTTCACCAATATTTACAGTTTTTCACCCTTAAGAATATAATGAAGAGAGGATATTTGGTTTGTCTCGTCAATAAAACGACGCTTTAACCAATAGGCTACCCCACCGCCCACCTTCCCACTTGTACCTGACACGGCCTCTGACAAAAGTACCATCCAGTCCACAATCACAGAGCTGATTCTAAGACAAATGTAAAATTAGCTGTTGAATACTTACAGAACAGTTCGCCATTCCCGAAACCTGAGTGTAAGGCAGGTATTTGTGAACGGAGCTAGTACAGCAATGGCGCACAGTCAGTTTCCTAGAAGTAATACAATTCCGAGTATTGTCGGGCTTTGTGAAGTGTGACGTACACAATGACACCATAAATCAATATTTCAACAACGTATGTTGTGCCATTATAACCTTACAATGGCCTTAAGTATGGAAATTTGATAGAGTATGTTTTGTTTCCACTATGCAGACAGGGTGGAAGTGTACCTGTAGAAAATTTAAGAGTCTGGAGTTTTCTCCTTTAGCAGGGTGGAGGGTTGACTGCAGGTATCCCCTGTTTGAACTGAATTTGGTGTTTTCTAATCAATGCATGGGTTATGTGTCACGTCTTTTATCAATAATATAGGTGTTCTTATACAGTATGCACGAGAAGCAATTTATGCAGGACACCTTCAGCACAGTTTACTAAAGGTTAAACATACACATGTGTTTATGTGATTCTTAAGACATCAGAAGCTTAAGTAAATGTTTGGGGCATCTTTTGAAAATATAAATAGAGTGTAAAATGAGAGGTAGTTGGTTATGATATGATACCACAATCAAGGGCATCAGCTGTACATATGTACATTCGGTTGGGCGTCAAACCAATATCTGTGGCATCACAAGTTAATCCTTGAATCACCCAGCTACCCAGTGCCCTGCCTTTACATATAAATATAATTATGCCAGAGCGCGTGCGCGCGTGTGTGTGTGTGTGTGCGTGCGCGTGTGTGTGTGTGTGTGTGTGTGTGTGTGTGTGTGTGTGTGTGTGTGTGTGTGTGTGTGTGTGCGCGTGCGTGCCTGTCCGCAAACCTGAAGAATGTTTAACACAAACATCTCACAAATGGTTGTTTGTTTGTGATTTAACTTAATGTAAAGTTCACATTAGCTTTAAGTTTGTGAAATATAAGGTGCACTTTAGACATTGGTTAACTCAATTCACTGACGACATTTCTCATAGTTGGAATACAGCCGACTTTATAGAAGATAAATATGAGTGCCCTTGTCATATCATGTTTACAACACAACTGTCTAAATCTTGGTATTTTCGGAACCAGAGAAGGGATATGCCGGTATTTAGGTCGTTAACATAGTGTGATATGGTCACGAATATAATTTTTTACTTATAACCGAAGTCTTCAATTCAGGAAATTACGCGATAATCTACGTTCCAACAAAGGCAGGCTCCCCCGTCATCGCTGTATGTAGAAGGCGGCTTCTTAGAAGCAACGTGACGTCATAACATTGTTCATGATGTCATGTCACCATGACAAAGTGATATTTTTTACCCGGTGCATATCGTATAAAAACAAATTATCCCCGATATGTTTGCCCTCGTAGGTCATAGGCATTGTTCTTATCGTTCGTTGAGATGCCATCCGTTGATTTCTTTGTTGTAATTTAAGCGGTGAAACTAAATAAATGATTTCTTTAGTCTACCCATAACAATTAAGGTGTCAAGTTACATTGTATACCTTACAGAATGAAGTTTGACTTTACTTTGATAGCGAGCACATATGATCGATTCCTTCAAGCAAATGATACAATTCAATAGTATTTCTACATTTAATTTTAAATGCATCAATCAAATACAAGAAATTAGTAGACAGATTGACTGCTATGTGGCACGGAATAACCAGGCGCCAGCGATTCATGATATCCTTAGCAAATGTAACATAAAATTCCCTCCCATAAACTACAGTAATTTGTAGTAATATGATGAAGAAAATAATACGAACCAGTTTCGACCATGACAACGCAATATATACTCTCCCAAAAAAGAAACGCATCATGAAAATAGCAATTTCATGTAGCAATTAATTAAAACGTGATTCATTTTACAAAAGGTTTTGCTCTGTGTATGAGTCCTATGGTGTTTGTTTTGAAACATCACAACAAAACGCACCATCTGTAAGATACCCGTATTTAACAGCATGATTTTCAATTTCGGCGTGTATCGTCACAGAAGACACAATTCAAATGCAATGCACGTGAAAGTTGGGGATCAGATAGTCTCAATGATGGGTATAAAAGGTTGATCGCTGTCTGTCGATTATTCACTGTATTTGAAATATTGTTGACGAACGCAAAATGCCACGTCTAAGTGAAGCCAACCGTCATATCGCCATTGGTTTGCTTGAAGCTGGCCAGTCTCAACGTGCAGTTGCCCGACGCATGAATGTTCACCAAAGCACCATTTCACGGTTCTGGGAGAGATATCGCGGCAGAATGCGGTAGCAGATGCCCCACGTAGTGGGCGACCTCGAGGGACCACTGCGACGCAGGATCGTTACATCCGGGTACATCACCTGCGTCATCGAACAGCTACGGCGACCAGTACCGCTCGACAAATACTCGGATTGAGGAGGCTTTCTGCACAGACCGTCAGGAACAGGTTGAGAGTGCCAGAAGACCTTATTTTTGCCCTGTGCTTCGACAACAACATCGTCGACATCGAGTTCAGTGGTGCACCAACGTTCAGGCCTGGAACCTACCGAATTGGCGTAGAATCTGGTTCAGTGATGAATCACGATTTCTATTGGAACGACGCGATGGAAGAATGCGGGTGTACAGACGTCGACGTGAACGTTTCGCCGACGCTTGCGTTCCCCAGGTGGACAGATTCGGCCGGGGAGGTGTTATGATGTGGGGAGCGATCACCTGCCGTAGGAGAAGTGATTTGGTGATGATCCAGGGCGACCTGGCATCTCAACGGTACTGTGACGAAATCCTATGCCCACAGCTCCTTCCAATCATTGATCGCCAGAGGGAGTTGTTTCAACAGGACAATGCCAGTCCCCACACAGCCCGTCACACTAGAGACTTCCTCCAGAACCACAGCATCAATGAGGGCTCCCCTGGCCCTCAAGATCACCGGACTTAAACCCGATCGAACATCTGTGGGATGCCCTGGACAGACGGGAGCGACGCCGTAACCCTCAGCACCAGACACTTCAGCAACTCGCACAGGCACTACAGGCAGAGTGGGCTGCGATTGGGCAACACGAGATTCTGAGACTTATTCGTTCGATGCCGAGGCGATGCCGTGCAGTTCTGGATGCCCACGGTGGTCACACGAGGCAATGACTTCAGCGCCACCACACGTCTCCATGTGACACTCAAACTGACTTTCCTCGAGTTGATGCCAATGACGGATAAGTCTGCATTCCCAGTGTGCAATTTCGCTATTTTTCATTGACTCATAAAGTCTACAAGATGTTTCAAAATAAACATAAAAATACAGTCGAAATTCCTATACAGCGTTTATATGCGTTTCTTTTTTGGGAGAGTATATGAATGTATGATCGAAACATAAATCATTATAAATCACTTATGATCAAAACATAAAATTAACTTCAAATATGTCATTGCGTCAACATTGAAAATAATTCGAAAATAAAGAAAAATAAACGTACATTTAAAAGTGGAAATAAACAATATCCTGTTATTTTTGGATATACTATGAAGAACTTCAAAATGTAATAAAAATATCAGTAAATTATTGAAAGCTATGGCTCGTAAAATATGCCCTTGCGTCAACATCGAGAATAACTCCATAATGAATAACAATTAAGTTTAATATTCAAAACATACACAAATAATCTCTCTGTTTTTAAGACGTGTCAGGAAGAATTTCACAACTGGTAGAATTAACATGAAATTATAGAAACCATTTGCTAACAAAAATTTGAAAATTAGTAGTGAAAAAGCGTTTGTCGCAAACATAGCTATTAACCCTGCCACATGTCCATAACTGAATCTCGCAATAATCCTCTGCCTGACCCTGAAAATTATGTAAACGTTACCGAAACTCATCGGATGCCTTGATACAAAATGTGAACAAATTCCATCCATGGACTTCCGGTTGTGCATGGGAGGACTTCCGGTGTGCATGGGAAGACTTCCGGTTGTGCATGGTAAGTCTTCCGGTTGTGCATGGGAAGACTTCCGGTTGTGCATGGGAAGAGACAGGCCACGCTAAACAACTCGCTCCGTCACCGACCCACAGATTATCCGAAGCAATTCTGCCAAATGACTTTATAGACGGTAAAATTAATAACATTAATTTGTAATAAGTCATTTCGCCCAACTAAGATCATTGCGATAGATACCACAACGTTTCTGGGTTTTTTCACGCCAAATAACTTTCCACTATGACCACGAGGGAGAACACAGCATACATGGAGGAGATCGTGAAATCTTTCGAGAAGGGACTCAGTGAGCTGATTGTTAACGTTAAATGTGAACTAAAAGACTCTATTGACGGAATTAAACAAGAACTGAATGAGCTAAAGACCAAGGTCGAAGGTGTTGAACACGAGGTACTTGTTCATGACCTGGAGATGACCAAGCTCCGCGACGAGCTGGCCGCCATTAAACAGGATCATGCTAACCTAGAACGTCAGGGTACACTTAAAGACATTCACGACCGTAAACCGAACTTGTTGTTTTATGGTCTCCCCGAAATACCAAATGAAATTTCAGGGAAAACGCTGAGGGACTTTTGTGTTGAAAAACTAAAGTTCAGTCGAGATAGAGTTGACAGCATGATCATCAAAACTGTTCATTGACTACCCAAAAGTGAGTATCAACGTCAACACCGACCAACAGCGCCACACAGCATTATTGCTACTTTCGTTAACATGTCGGATCGGGATGACATATTCGGCGCACGGAAGATCTTGCGGGAGCAAAACAACAACATGAGTATTCAAACAGACTTACCCGCCATGCTAAAAAAAACGACGTGCAATTTTGAGCAGAAAGGCCAACGAAATCCGCGAAAATGAGAAGTTGTGGACGCGCGTTCTCGTTGTAGGAGTGGAAGTAGTCCTGGAGGTTAACAAACCAAATGCACCTTCTTCACAATGGAAAAGGCGTGACTGATCATCGACAGACATTTTGTGGTTAAAACAAACGTGTTTACATTAAAGAGAAAGTACTTTCTTGAAGAATAAACGCGTATCATACTTCTTACACTAAGTTCCGGTGATTTAACGACTCTTCAGTCTTCTTATTAAAGGCATTTAGTTAATTGAACCTTTTATATACCTCTTAACGTTAACATGATTTGAAAACATGTTTTTGC